CGATAACGAGGTCATTGTCGGCTCTGAGTTCTTTAAGTGCCTTAGGTTCGACAATGGAGAGAACGTCGCGTGGTCGATGTGCCATTAGAAGGGACGACACCTGGTGCCGTACAAGGTTTTTCGTTTCGTCCGTCGCTTCTGTTTGGCTGAAAATTGATTCTACTGCAGCAACTATATAGGTCTGGCATCAGCTGTGTTGAATGAGGCTTCATGCTTCAACACCTGCATTTGTTCTTCCGTCAGCTTTTTGGATGACAGGTTGTGCACCAGTTTATCATCTTTGGATGACGTTGGACGAGGTAGCTTGTGAAGTTTAATTGCAAGTGCTGCTTCTCTCTTCACTTTGTATTCGCGGGCTCGTTCGGCCACCCTCTGCTGGAGCTGTTGCGTACCATTCTCGCCCATGCACTCAAAGCACTTTGTCTTCTCTTCGTCGATCCTCTGACGGTTCTTGCGAAGCCTCGCGTTACAGTCTTGAAGGATCACTCGGATCATTAGTCTGCCGTGCTGAAATTCTTTGCGTCTCACTAGCTCTGTTTCATATAGACCTCCGGTTAATACAGTGTTGTGTAGGGTAAAGGGCTATCACAGTACGCCCAGACTGGACGAAGGCCGGCGTAAAGCGACGACAAAGGTAGATGCAGAGTTAGAACACTTGAATGATAAAACGGTCGGGAAGCTCGACTCGGTTAACGCTACGCGCAGTGCGAATGTCAATCGCAAGAGAAGGGCTAGGGTCAGGTGAGAGAAAGGGGGGGTAAGATGGTTAGATGAAGCAGGGGTAGAAGAAATGGAAGAATACGGGCTAGGGAGTCAGTACAGTATTTTTCTTCTAGAAGAAGAAGCTATGATCGCTGGTGAAAGACTTTTATTCGCCTGACTACGTCGGAGAAACTGGAAGACTTCTCAAGAAGCTAGTTGCCGACCACATAGCAGCAGTGCAGAGAAATGATGCCAATTCTCAAGTTTCGGCTCATTGGACGAGACCCGGCCGAAATTCTTGGGAGAAATGACAGTCATGTGAGTCGCGAGCTACTCGTGTCATGGTTCGCGGGCTCCCGGTCTATTAACAAGTGCAGCGATCTGCCCAATCCATATTCGGTGCTGAGGCTGAGTTTGGCCAAAGCAATTAGCCACTTGGAAAACGCACAGACCAATG